TTGGTCGAGTGATGAAGATTTGGATCAATGGACCAAAGTTTGAATCTCCGCAACGACCGGGTAGAGGTCACAGAACCTGAAATAAGGCTGAGTCTCTGGTGCGCATGGGTGTATGGGCCTACAGCCATTCTGCTTGGTGACTGAGTCACCGTGACTAACCTCTCCACCATTCTGTCAGGTCGGGATGGGGGCTCTTGGGGTGAGAGATTTCAAAGGATCGATACAAATTCAAGTCAATTTAATCAAAGTAATGGTTTGATTATCAGTTGGCATTACTTTTTGATAGGGTGTACAGCTGCATATGTTAAGGGGTATTATGGTGTGCTATGGTATAGATTACCCTGGGGGCTGGGGTGGTGCCTTTAAAATTGATTTCATGTTTGAAAATGAAGTGAGATTAGACTGTTGGTTTCTTTTCAAGGCTATTAAAGGGATGGGAATTAGAATTGGTAAAGAAACAAAAAATGGTCCGTAGTGGAAAGGAAAACGCCAGAGGAAAGCATTGCAGTTTGCAGAGGAAACGATCAGATAATTTGATTGCTTCCCATTAACCACCCCTCAACCTGTCCAATCGCCCATGGCCCCATTCTTCTCCAACTATCAATTCTTGCCAACTTTCCCATTCAGGATTAGGACGCGTTTGGTGTTACACAAACTGGTGAGTGGATAATGGATAGTGAATGGGAGGGGAAAGATGATAATGATGATGATGAGGAAGCATTTCATCTGATTCCATTGATAAAAAGTACTGGTTTTGATGACCAGAGGATGTGTTTGACATTTAGCTTAAAGGTCAACAGATAGCGAATTATCTTAGATTCTCATTACGCTATTGAAACTAGGTAAGGAAAGGTGGACATTATCAATAATGAATTCGCTCAGAACATTTGACAAGCTGAATACGTTGGTGAGTTGACAAAAGATGTTTGGTAATTGAATTGCTTGATCATAACAATGACAATGATGAGCCTCAACTAAGGACTAATAAACAAAGTTGTTTCCATTTCAACGAATTCTAATGTGTGACTGATAGAGCAAAGGGAATAAAATTTAAGGAAAACCCTCACATAGTCACATAAATATATACTCCATATATGTTGGGCTTATAATGGGTTGAAACCCAATACATATTAGTTTTTGCCAAAACTTTTCTACTCTAAATTTTAGGTGTGTTTAGAAAAGGCGTTTCAGCAAAAATGGTGGTTTGACCCCTTATTGAAAATGGTGTTTGGTAAATAGCTATTTCGCTCTAGCATTTTTAGACAAAATCATTGGACGTGATGTTGTTTTACCGCCCACACTCTGCAATTTAGTAATGCAGGTATGAATGTTTTTTTATAAAACTTACTCTTCGGTCTGGTTAGCCTACCTCAATCATATAGAAATCCCGATTCACTCTTCCATTTAATCCACTTTGTTCTGATTCTATGGGATACAATTTTCATCTAGTTCAGTTTCCCTGTGAATTGTAAATCCCAAGTAACGTAATATATCACGGATCGTTATCTTCATCATATATTCATATCTAGGGTATTCTCACAGTTTCTATTGCTTCTACATCCACCAAACTTGTACTCCATATACCCATCTTTCTTGCTTCGACCCATCTTTCTTCGACTTAGTCTGAAACTCATGTTCTCCGAAGTTTATAGCCATACTTCCATTTCTGCTTTAAGACGCGATTTGTGTCTCATCAATCAATACAATATCGCCGGCAACATCATGCACCACAATATATCCTATTAAATTGACTTCGCAAGTTCATCCATGAATATACCAAATAAGAAATGACTCAGAGCACATCGATCCATAATGCACTCCGATTATAATAGGGAATTATGCATTCCTCCCTAAACTAGTATGAGTACTTGTAGTATAATCCTTATACATATCCACGATGATATTGATATACTTATGTGATATGTATTTTCTTGTTAAGGCACATCAAAAAACTTGTTGAGGTACCCTGATGGATAGTATACCCGAGGGGTAGCTTATCCGAGGGGTTATTACGGGGAATAACTAGAGAGAAGTCAGAGCAAGTAAGTAGAGAGAGAGGGTATATTAGAAATGTATTCAGCGTATTTGCTTCTAGGTTACAAATGAGGAGATGGGGTGCTATTTATAGTAGTAATAAATGCCAGATAGGAACACGTGTCAAGCTTCCATTGGCCGAGGGGTCACCTCAACTGGTTGGCGCTGGCAATCGCATGTGGCCGCATTTAATGCGGCTATTGGATGGGACGTCGTACTCGGTACGGTGATCCCTGCGCATGTGGAGCGGATATTATGTCGGAAAAGGTGCCCTCGGCTGTAGATGATTGGCCGAGGGCTCTGAGTACCGGGGACCTTCTTAGTACCGAGGGCTCTAGGTGCCGAGGGCTACTGATTTTCGCCGTCTTCTCCCGGTGGCTTTGTTTTCCTGATTTGGCCATCCTGTGAGAATTGGAGCCTTCGGCCAGGGGGGCGAAGGCACCTCTAGTGCGCCACGTGGGTTGCTTAGTATTTGGGGCGCCGTGATTTGGGATTGTTGTGCTTCCTGGGCCTATTGGGCCTCCATTAGAATAGTAGGAGTCTATGGGTCGGGGGTTCCTGGGCCATATACTCCATCAGGAGTCCCTCACTCCTTTTGCCGAAAGGTACTTGACGGAAAAGGAGTAATTTGTGTTTGCCCCTTTGGTGTTGTTCCGTTGCACTCTGTAGAGTTTGTGAGTAGAGTGTTGTGTGCACGTTTCAGCCGAGGGCAGTCCCTCAGTTACCCACATTCCAGGACTTGAGGGATCATGCTCGTTTGTTGTGGGAGTTTTTTACATTTTTTGTATTTTGAGAGATTTTCCCGGAGGGGTCCTCCAGTCCCCCACTCCTTGAGGCACTTGCAAAGTGGTGAAAAGGAGTAGAGTAGTGCCTGCCTGCAATATGAAACCGAGGGGTGACGCTTTTCGTTTCATTTTGGGGGGATGCCTCATTAAAAACCTCATTAGGAAAAAACTTGTGGGAAAAAATCCTAATGAGGGAAAAAGAGTGCACCGAATTCCCCCAACGATGAATCGAAAAAATGAAGCCCTGGTTTGAAATGGAGTAAAATGCTGACGCCGAAGGCTATCCTTGTTCTGAGGGTGCGTGTGTTGATTAGCCGGAGGCTTGCTGTTGATATCCTGGGAGGTGCCGAAGGGGGATCCCTCAATCTGGGGATCGAGGGCGTGGTGAATGTGAGTAGTAGTTGAAGTGTTACCGAGGGGTCCCCAGTTGGTGAGGAGGGTATCCGAGGGCTCCCGTTACCTGTGTGTCGTAGGCTATCTGTCAATGAGGTGTACTCCCCGGGGGCTACCTGGTCCTCAAAGTGTGGAGGGGGGAATCCCCGAGGGGTGTGCCCGTTATGGAGCCGTGGGCTTCTGAAGGAGCAAGCCCGAAGGCCTCTGTGATGTAGTATGAGGGGCATAACCCGGGAGCATCTCTGGGTAAGTGTACCCGGGGGCTCTTCTTGATGAAGTGGAGTGAAGTAAAAAGCCCGGGGGCTAGTTTCTTGGTTGATGAAGGAGTGGGTTGTTAAATATAGCCCCCCCAGAATATAGCCGTTGGGGGGGGGCTTCCACGTGGTGCGTGCTCGTTGGCTGCCTGTGGGAGGGCATCACTGATTGGGCAGTTCGACGGTTCGTAATGATGGCTGTTTAACCGGAGGCCCGGTTTCCAGGCCCATGCCCGGATCCAGGTGCCTATAAATACCCCATGGCCGGGCATCATTTCTCTTGTGCGATCATACTGTTAGCGAAGCTCTGCCAAAATTTCTAGAGAGAGAAACTCCAGCCTTCGGTTGAACCCCCAGCTTTCAAGGTCAGTCCCTCTTCTGTTCTCCGTTTACTTGGTGAGTTTTGCTCCTGTGGCCTTAGACTTAAGTGTCTAGAGTTTCTCAGGGTGCCTTCGGACTTTAGAACCTCCGTATTCATTAGCCTATAAAAAATGTCGTCCGCTAGTGACTCCCAAGACATATCGGGGGAGCCCTCGGTTGAAGAGGAAGTCTTCTCCGACGCGGAGTCCCTGAGTGAGCAGCCTTCGGCCGATGGTGACACCTCCCTCGCCATTCAAGTTGCAGAGGATGAGGAAGAGAAGGAGAGGATGAGGGTGACAGTGGCTGTCCCCCCCCCCCCCCCCCCCCCCCGTGGTTCTGGTGAAGCAAGCAGCTCGAGGCCGCTGAACCTGACGCCCTTGAGAGTAGCCCCCGGATCAAAGGAGAAGAAGGCGAAAGCTGCTACTAAGAAGAAGGTCAGGGCCGCCGACCAAGGGAAGCCCGTTAATATGCCCGAGGGGTATTCTTGGCTGAACACCGAGGCCCTCGAGATAAAGTCGAAGGCGGACAAGGCGGATTTCTACGTCACGCAGCTGCACGTAGGGCCTTCGGCCGTGGTGGTCGAGCCGGGAGTTGATGATGTGCTGTCCTGGGCTCCCGAGGGCTGCATTGTCGTGCACATCCTGTCGGTATCGATGGGGCTCTGGTTCCCTCTACACCCATTCCTTCGGGAATACCTTCGGTACGTGGGTTTGGTCCCCTGCCAATTGACGCCCAATAGCCACTCCTACGTGGCGGGCTTTTTTAACCTCTGTCGGGCCCGAGGGGTGACCCCCAGCCTGGACTTGTTTTTCCAGAGCTTCAACCTCTGCCGAGGGGGTCACACGAATGCTGAGGGCTTCGCCAACCTGCAATAGATAGCTAGGTGGAAGCTATTTACACAGGCGCCTTCATCCAATAAAGGCTGGAAGGAGCGATGGTGCTATGTCAGAATTGCCGAGAGCCCATTTCCGATGGAACTTCGGGATCGCTTCCGTCGGCATCCAAAGGTTGGAAACGCTGCTCTTGAGAAGGATGACTTGATAATAGCCAAGACCCCGGAGGGTCGTACGAAGCAAGTGTCCATTAAAGACTACACTGCTGACAAGGAACTCTTCGCCCTCGGCTTCCGGAGATATCGCTTCATCGGGGAAACGGACGAGAAGTATCCCCTTTTCGATGAAGCCTTCGGGGGCGCAGGAGGTAGTCACCGAGGGCCCTTAGTCTTGTAATTAGTTTTTTTTTTACCTTGAAGTTATTGCTCCATGGTTGTTGACCCGTCGGCCTAACCCTTCACTATTTTGCAGGTATCCCCGTTTCGAAGATGAACGTGAAAGGCCTTGCTCGATTTAAGAACAAGTCGGCCAAGGATCCGAAGGGGTCGGATGCGGGCGGCCAGAAGCCCGTTGGTGCGTTATTCAAGAAGCCCGAGGACGATGTTGCAGCCGCGAAGAGGAAAACGACGACCAAGGAATCCCCCCCGGCTACCAAGAGATCGAAGAAGGGGGACGCCACGAAGAAGGACCCCCCGTTAGTGATCGTGAATGAGCATTCCACCTCCGGGCTGGTCGTGGATGTGCCGACGGCTGGAAAGCCTGCGGGGACAGAAGATTTGCCCCCGGAGGTCCTGCAGGTTTCCCTCCCGAGGGGAACAGCCGTGACCAAGTGCACGGTCAACCCGAGGGTGCTCCTGAGGGGCATGACCCCTGAAACAGATGGGGCCACCTTCGGAGCTTTAGATGACGTGGCGCTAGAGGAACAGATCCTCCGATCTTCCTTAACTGTGAGTTCCTTCATGGTTTCTTCCCTCCTTCCTCAGATTATCTTGCGTGGTTGTCCTGACAGTTTGCGTTGTTGATTTGCAGGCTTGCCTTGCCCTCGGCGAACAGGCTCGACGGTTGGAGGAATGGCGTCTCCACAAAGCTGGGCAAGATGCAAAGATGAAGGAGCTCATTCATAAGGACTCCAAGGCCACGAAGCTGATGGCCCAGCTCGAAGAGGAACTCCAGCTTGCGAAAGCAGAGGCCGGAAGTGTAACACCGCCCCCGAGTATTTATACTGTACCAAATTATGTATTGAACCTTGAGAAATGTATAAAAGCATTTTTACGTGATTGTAAATTTTTATCATTTCTATTACGTGAATAGTAAAATTCACGTGGGGCCCACACCGGATGTGGGGCCGCCCGATATTATCGGGACCACATATTATATTAATCTTGGACTAGATAATATGCATATGGTGGTGGATACCCAAATTGGGCCATGACGCTCCATGGGACTAGATATTATATTTCCTACCTATCAACACTACCTATACGCTCGAGCGGTTGGCCAAATTGTACACAGATGAGATTGTGAGACTGCATGGGGTTCCGGTTACTATAGTATCGGATAGGGACCCACGGTTCACATCACGGTTTTGGCCTAAGTTCCAGGAATCCATGGGTACGAAATTGAGGTTTAGCACCGCGTTTCATCCTCAAACGGATGGGCAATCTGAACGGGTGATTCAGATCTTGGAGGATATGTTGAGGGCATGTGCCTTGGAGTTCCAGGGGAGCTGGGACAATCAGTTGGCTTTGGTGGAATTCGCCTATAACAACAGTTATCAGGCAAGTATAGGCATGCCTCCATACGAAGCATTGTATGGAAGGAAATGCAGGACACCATTGTGTTGGGACGAGGTCGGCGAGGCTAAGCTTGAGGGCACCGAGTTAGTCGAGATCACTAAGGAGAAGATAAAGGTCATACAGGATAGGCTCAAGGCTGCCCAAGACCGACAGAAGAGCTATGCTGATAAACGTCAAAGGACGTTGGAGTTTGAGGTTGGGGACGAGGTATTTCTGAGGGTATCACCTTGGAAAGGGATCATCAGGTTCCTCAGTCGGGGTAAGCTTAACCCACGTTACATAGGCCCGTTCAAAATCCTTGAAAGGATTGGGGTTGTAGCTTACCGACTTCAGTTGACTCCGGAGTTAGAAAAGATTCATAACGTATTTCATGTTTCTATGCTCAAGAAGTATGTGCGGGACCCGTCACATATTCTTGAGAAACCACCGGTGGAAATCCGAGAAGACCTACACTATACGGTGCAGCCGGTGAAAATCATGGACCGACAGGTAAAGAAGCTAAGGAGCAAAGAGGTGCCGATGGTAAAAGTACTGTGGAAGAGTGATCGTGTCGAGGAGCAAACTTGGGAAGTGGAGACCCTGATGAGGGAACAATATCCATTTCTGTTTGACTAGACGCGTGGATTTCGGGGACGAAATCCCAAATAAGGGGGGTAGAACTTGTAACACCGCCCCCGAGTATTTGTACTGTACCAAATTATGTATTGAACCTTGAGAAATGTATAAAAGCATTTTTACGTGATTGTAAATTTTTATCATTTCTATTACGTGAATAGTAAAATTCACGTGGGGCCCACACCGGATGTGGGGCCGCCCGATATTATCGGGACCACATATTATATTAATCTTGGACTAGATAATATGCATATGGTGGTGGATACCCAAATTGGGCCATGACGATGGCACAAGGTTGACCGGTTGGTCAAATGGGCCAAATTATCGGTATCGGGAAATTTATCAGATAACAGCCCAGGAAGGGATTCCGGAGATTTCTAAATTAAAGTTGGGGAATCATATTGATTCTAAGGTCCAATAAGGATTGGGAACAAGTGTTATATTTTATTTGACCCGATAAAATAAAATATACTTAAAACAGTCCGGAAAATACAACTTTCGGGACCGATTGTACACTCGGGTACACAAAGGGTTGACCTCCCACATGAGTGGGGTCCAACCCACGTCCTTGGTCTGGAAAATAGCCAGGGGATCCGCATCATGGAGCTGAGAATTGGCTGGGGAAGTGATTGGGAGACCAATCAATATGAGGGTGGGACCTTTGCCATATGATTTGGTGAGAAATGCCAAAATGGCATCCTCAATCACCCCTCACCCCATATGCTCGGTTCAATCATCCAAGGAAGGGAGAGAAACTCTGAAAATACTCCATTTCCTCATCCTTTCACGCACCAAGAACAAAGGAGGAAGAAGGAGGGGAAAAGAGAAAAGAAAAGTTGGTTTTGGAGAGGAAAACTTGTGTTTAGCAAGGTAAGGACTCCATTAACCCCATTTCGTTTTCTTTAATCATCTTATATGATTATTCAATCATATTTCACACCCTAGGATTGTTCTACACGTTGGGATGTGTACAAAGAGGGGTTGGAAGGTGGTTCTAAGTCTAAGAACGGACTTAGAAGCCAAAGGACCGGTTCGCCGGAAAATAACCTTTTGAAGGTTATTTATATTACTATGGGTTTTATGATGATAAAACCTTGTTAGTAACTTGTCTAAGGTATTCAAGGAACTTTCACGGAGTTGAAAAGGTTGCCGGAGTTGTCGCCGGAGTTCGTTGAAGTTCGCCGGAGTTTCGTCGGAGCTAAATCGGGAAGGCTAGAACTTCATAAGCTTCATTAAGGTGAGAAGACGGCTTTATGCTTTATAACTTTTGCGTGAGGCATGAGATTACCTAAAGTAATCAGGAATATGTTTTGTGGAATGATTAAAGATAACCAAGTGTGTGCTTATGCCATGATTATACATAAAACATAATTGGACAGTGGCGGATCCAGGAAATTTTGTTATTGGGGGCATAAACGGATTTAAATTAGAGATATAATTTTAAACAAAAATTATATACTCAATGTGATGATTGACCATATTGTTTTATTTTTATATTCTTCAAGATTCTCAAGAAAAATGAATGAACTTTTTAGATTTGAATAAATTCCGATATCTTTCATGTTGTTAACCTAGGTGATTTACATTATCACCTAATAACCTACTTATTAAATCATCAATTATAACTATATTTTAGTAGTCTACTCGCTTTGTCAAGTATCTTGTAGTCTGAAGACATCATTATGACATTATCAAGAAAGAGGCCACATGTTTGAATTTCATTGTGGTACTACGTATAACATATGTAGTACTACGTATATTATAATAGGTTAGAAAGCACATCCAAAAGAAAGATATTCACACGCTTTAGTTTTATTTTTCCACTGTATTTTTGCGATTTTTTAAACACTTATTCTTTATACAGTTATAATCTTACCAAGAACATAAGTATCTTGAGATTTTTGTAATATCATTCCTACTTTTCTATATTACTATCTTGCGCTATGTGATCAATTTCATTACACAGAATCCATCTTAAAATCCCGTTAAAAAGTCAATGATACAATTAAAAAAAACGAGTTTGTTGCATTCATTTTTTTGACAAAAGTTTGTTGGGTTTGTTAAGATTAGATCTATACAGTATCATAAATAGAATAATATATACTCCGATTATTATGAATGTCAATGTATAAAATATCCTGTGACTCTAGCTTAATTTTGTAAGCAACATTTTTCTTTTTAAGGAACGGTGAATTAATTGACACACAGGGAGTATCAAATTAATTTGACTTAATTCAGAATTTTAAAATTCGAATCTAGTAATGAATTTGTTTTCTAAATCATATGAATGTTTATTTTTTACGTAGGAACTATCTTTAATTGGGGGCAAGCAAAATAATTTAATGGGGGCAAATTGTTTTTTACAAAGGAAAGTGTATTTATTAATGTATGCTCCCAATCAATTATGAAAATGTTATTGGGGGCATGTGCCCCCACTCATTTGAACCTAGATCCGCCCATGTAATTGGAAAGCATGTTATGTAGGTTTGGTGATCAAAAATGTGATAACTTCCTATGTGTGATGTTCCAGGGATCCAAAATGGTATTTTTGGATCAAGGACGTCAAGAAGTATAAGTGTATAAAATTTCACGTTAATCGGACTTCGTTTGGGCGGTCAAACGAGCGTTGATCGCCAAGACAAAGGTGATACCCGACCGGGTATGGGTGAATACCCGACCGGGTTTTGATTAAAAATGGCTCCAGAAGCCACTGCCACACTAGACCCGACCGGGTATGGGTGTACACCCGACCGGGTCTCAAGTAAAGTTGGCTCCAGGAGCTACTGCCTCACCCCACCCGACCGGGTAAGGTGGGATACCCGACCGGGTCTTGGGTTAAGCTCAGAATGGGCAGTTTTGAGTAGGTTAACGTGGGCCGTTCGGGTGGGACCCGCCCACGTTGGATCCTAAGGATTGTTATATGACTATAGGGCTAGGCATTGTCCATAGTTAAAGGAATGAAAGGTTAGCCATATCCAGGTTAGGATTTGGTAGAGAATAGACTGGGGATTGAGTGCCCTTGGACGGTCAATGATCCAGAATACTCCAGGTGGGGTCGAGTACCCTTGGACGGTAAATGATCCAGAATACTCCAGGTGGGGTCGAGTACCCTTGGACGGTAAATGATCCAGAATACTCCAGGTGGGGTCGAGTACCCTTGGACGGTAAATGATCCAGAATACTCCAGGTGGGGTCGAGTACCCTTGGACGGTAAATGATCCAGAATACTCCAGGTGGGGCCGAGTACCCTTGGACGGTAAATGATCTTAAATACTCCAGGATGGGTTGAGTGCCTTGGACGGTAAATGATCCTAAAACACTCGGTAGTATGAATCGAAGGTAGACTATAGCTTGTGAGCTAGGTAACCGGGAAAGGAGTGAGAAAAGTCAGGTAAGAACTTTATCTCTAAAAGACTCTTTAAGGTAAATGACCTACGGGTTGAGTATTTTACGAGTATATATACAGTATGTATCATCGGGTGGATGAGGGACATCTATATGTATATATATCACCCTATTTTTGGGTCTCGTGTCTGAAACATTAGTTATTCTTCATATAGCCTGCTTGTCACTAGTACTTCTATGGAGTACTGACCCCTCCGGGGGCCCTCACATTTTTCAGGTTGAGGCTAGAGTCCTACTACCTGCACCTTTGCCTAGGGTGATTGATCGAGAAGGAAGACGTGGTTCGTGCTTCCATTCTTATTTCAAATGTATAAACTGCTCATGGATTTTTGAACAATATTTTCATTAAAACAGTTGGGGGCCTGCGTGCCCGTGTTTGCCACGTGTGGCTAAGTATCAAACATTTTATTATTCCGCATTTTTTTGATTATGATATTGATGTTGATTGTATGTGTTTACTAATCGGCTTGGCAATAGAATCAATCGGACGCCTTGTACAATCCAAAAGGGATGAACTGTTGTTGTTCCTATCGGGTTGTACGGCGGTTGTCTACGTGGCTCGGATGCGGTCCGGGGCGTGACAGGAAGGCTCAGGGAGGAGAAAGCCAAAGGTGAGGAGGGTGCCGCGGAGGCCGCAAAGAAAGCCGCCGAGGAGGCCGAGGCCGTCAGAGCGGAGGCTATTGTCACAGCTCGAGAGGAAGCCATCTCCGGGTTTCTGGACGAGGGGTGGAAGGCCGAGGGACACAAGAAGTGGCTGTCCTCGGTTGTGGAGGCCTCTGTTGATGAATGGTGCGAGGGCCCGGGTGAGGAATGGATGGCCCCAAAGGGCAAGGAATATTATGATGGGGGCGAGTTTTTTACTCAGACCCTCATCTACCGAAGGATGGCCCGGCACCTGAATATTGAGCCGAAAGATTTCGATCCCTCGGCATATGGTCTTCCTCCCTTACTACCGGATGTTCGTGAACCCCTCCCCTCAGGCGTTAAGTGGCCCGACCTGGAGGATTCTGAGTTGATGAAGGAAGTAGAGGGTGACATCGTGGAGGCCGGAGTAGAGGTCTCTTCGAAGCCTGCTGTAGAGGATGCTTCCGGGGGCAATGCTGCTGAAGTTCCTGAGGAGACTTGTACTTAGATAATTTTCGTACAATTTGTACCCGAACATTCACATGCTTTCGGCTTCGGCCTTTGTAACAATTACACTTGGTATTTTTGTTTTTGATGAATGTATGAATGTATGTTTGCCCTCGGGCCCCTTCTCGTATATGAATTTGTTTCCTGTTGAATGTATTTCTTTGGATGTATGCCTTCGTTTTTTTATGTATGCCTTCGTTTTTTCTCTGTGGATGAATGCATGTTAGGACTTAGAAAATATCTCTCTAAGTACAGTGTCCCCTGTAGCCCTCGGCTACTAGGCCCATTTAGTTATCTGAACATTTCATCGAGGGTCCAACGTTCAGGACTTAGAAATCTTCTCTAAGTGTTGTTCATCTGTTGGCCCTCGGCTAATTCCTTCCCTCTGGTTCTGTCTAGCCTTCGGTGCGTGTGTACCCTTCACTGCGTGGGTATATAACCGAGGGCTCAAAATGTTTAGGAGTTAGAAATATTTTCTAAGTCTATATGCTTATCTCAGGGGTTATTACGGGGAATAACTAGAGAGAAGTCAGAGCAAGTAAGTAGAGAGAGGGTATATTAGAAATGTATTCAGCGTATTTGCTTCCGGGTTACAAATGGGGAGATGAGGTGCTATTTATAGTAGTAATAAATGCCAGATAGGGACACGTGTCAAGCTTCCATTGGCCGAGGGGTCACCTCAACTGGTTGGCGCTGGCAATCGCATGTGGCCACATTTAATGCGGCTGTTGGATGGGACGTCGTACTTGGTACGGTGATCCCTGCGCATGTGGAGCGGATATTATGTCGGAAAAGGTGCCCTCGACTGTAGATGATTGGCCGAGGGCTCTGAGTACCGGGGACCTTCTTAGTACAGAGGGCTCTAGGTGCCGAGGGCTACTGATTTTCGTCGTCTTCTCCCAGTAGCTTTGTTTTCCTGATTTGGCCATCCTGTGAGAATTGGAGCCTTCGGCCAGGGGGGCGAAGGCACCCCTAGTGCGCCACGTGGGTTGCTTAGTACTTGGGGCGCCGTGATTTGGGCTTGCTGTGCTTCCTGGGCCTATTGGGCCTCCATTAGAATAGTAGGAGTCTATGGGCCGGGAGTTCTTGGGCCATATACTCCATCATACCCTATAATACTCCTTTTCTAAATCAATGAACACTGTCATTTTCAGTGTCTCTATACTTCTCAACAAGTTGCCCAAACAGGCGAATGACCTCGGTTGTTGAGCGATCAGAAATAAATTCAATTGACTCTCTGAAATCTTCACACTTCTTCAGAACCTTTGCTCAATCGCTCATTCGCTCATTCTCAAAGTTTCATGATGTGACTCATAAACTTAATTTCTCAATAGTTTGCACATTATTGTACATCACTTTTTTTCATAAATAGGGGAATAAGAGTACTCTTCTGTCAACTTGCTCACATTTTTTGTTTCTCTGAATCTTGTTCAAGAAACGTATTAACCACTTGATGTCTCTCCCTATATCTCTATCAAACTTCTGTATGTCTCAATCAGCATACGATGTAAGCCCACTGCTTACTTCCACTCATCTTTCTTAGAGCCTCTTTAACTTCTCTACTTTGGATCCTTCTCATAAGATCTTGATTTAGCATACAAGCGGGTGTAGTGAGATCATCTATATCTTGTGATTTACTCCAGTTGAATAAAGTATCAAAGTACCATTAATATCCTTTGATCAACATCATTCGCACACTTAAGTTTCTTATAAATTGAGTACAACGATCAAGAAAACGAGCAACAATATGCATATCTTTTTATCCTTCCTTATAGTCCAATTTACATGCAACTCCAACCTTTTTCATTTTCTCGTGTGCTTTCTTCACAACTCTTAGCTTTTCTTTTAGCTTCATTATACTCCATTATGTTCTCATTGCTCCAACTGTTTTCTAACTTTTTGTAGCATACCTTTTTGTTCATTATTACTTATTCCATCTCATCATTAACTCCATCAAGACAAGTCATTATTTGGATGCAGACATACTTTAGATTCTCCAAATATCTCATTTGCCACTTTATTAATATATATATGCTCTATTAATAACCATACATCCTCCGCATGTGCATCTTTATCAACACACCATACATTTTACCCAAACATTTTGTGTGCAAACTTTGTTGGAGACCCCCTTGAGCATCCACCTCTTTATCTTTAACTCCACTCGTTGCTTAACCTACCTTAGATGTTTCATACTCGAAAATCAAGCACGGTCCTATGCTGAGTGAGAACACATTTTGAATTTTCTAGGAAAGAAAACCTACTTAATTGTGTAGAAGCCTCTACTACATTCTTTCGAAATGAGAAGTTTACTGAAACCTTCTATAAAATTGTAGAAGTCATTTAGAGACATTTTAGAAGACCCGAGAGGAATATGATGTTATAGAGAAGATGCGGCTTTCTAGTCTTGCATATAAATATAGTATAGATGGGTGTGAACATACCATAGGTCGCTTAAGTACTTCAACATGATGTTGCAATACAGGTTCGGATCCCCACATGAGATTCATAGAGAGACTCGTCGAAGTATTTAAGTTTGTGTTGTTGGGCTAAACTTCTACCATATGTGTCACGTGTCCTTTGGGGCGATGCAATGCTTGCTCTGAAGAGCGGTTTTTGTTAGCCCCGCTGTTTAGTTCACATCAATGTTGGAGGGCTTCCTGGTGATTTTGTGATGGCAGCGAAGTAGCAAAGGATGTTCATCCAACTATCGCAAAATGAAAGATCTTCAGCAAGTGTAGAGCCTTTTTGTGTGAGAGGAGTGAGAGCCTTCTAGTTAGAAAAACTAAGAGACCTCAAATATTGTTGATAATGTGTGAGTCAAAATTTATATGACAGAGGGGAGACCCAAGATGATTTCTCATTCATGTAATTGTGTGAGACATTGAAGTAATCACACATAAAAAGAGCGAAGTAAGGTATTTTGGCACATGTAAATATCTTTTTCACATTTTCGTATATAATCATTTTATAACATTATACCTTTGTACAAGTGTGTGTGTGAGTACAAGAATTAATCATACTAGCTTGCGAATTTGAGGAAAGCCATCACATGAAACATTTTCATAGAAATGCAACCTTGTTTCTTTATAGTTACTACTCGAACAATATATTAAATACTTTGTTTGCTTAAGAAAATACTTTTTTTTTTTAGAAAAAGGGGGATTTTATTGATAAAATGAAATTAGTACAATGCGGTAAAGGAGCTTAAGAAAATACATTGATAACAAAGAGAGTGCTCTTTAAAAAGGACCAGTAAAGCAAAATTATGGAGAAAAAAAAGTTACATAGCCTTATTATGTTTTTTGGTATAACAATATGGTGTTACTTGTATATAAATATATGCAAATTAATTTATCTCGCTTTAATTGAAAAGACCAAAAATAGTAAGAACGATGCTCAAATCTCTACATGGAGAGATTTTTTATAAATATATTATGGGAAAATTTTACAAATAGGAGCAAATCGTACTCATTTTCCAAAACTAAGACCGAAGATTAGCCTAAGACTCAAATAAACCAGCATTGACCACAATACACTTACGTTGGGGACGTACGTCACCTGAAATAGAGGGAAAGCGTCTCCAGTTGGGGGCATACGTCCTCTGAACTGGGGAATTTCAAACTCAATTTACTCAAGGTGAAGAGACAAATTTGAAAATTAATAATTGAGTTTCTTAAAATAGGAGTACATGTATCACACGGATGGAAGAAACATTAGGCAGTCCTAATTTTGTAAAAGTATTATGATTTGGTCCTACCGGCGGAAAATTTACTCTATAAGAATATAGCACACAATTCACTCACTCACTCAAATCTAGTTAACTGTCTCAAAAGATAAAAAGAATGTTGTTGTAGTATAACATCATGAGACAAGAGATACAAAGGTACCTTTCTTAAGTGGAATCCTAGATTGTATATGCAATAACACAACGCTCATCTTAAGTGGTGGAAAATTTTAAGGAAAAACTGACAAGAATAATCTCACCTTTCACTGATCTTCTCATAATAATCCTACCTTTACATAATCCCAAAATAATCCCACTTTTGTACCATATCTTCTTTCATTGGACCCTGACCAAGTTTTTTACCTTTCTTTGAAAATCTTATATAAATAGTCTCACGTTTATAAAGATATAATAGAAAAGTGAAAGATAAGATTATTTATATGATTTTCAAAAAAAAAGTAAAAAATATGGTCAGGATCCAATGAAAGAAGATGATGTGCAAAAGTGAGATTATTCTGGGATAACCTAAAAGTGGGATTATTATGAGAATACCAGCGAAAGGTGGGATTATTTTTGTCAATTTTTCCAAATTTTAATGCACTGTTTCTTTTTAGATTGTTCGATGAAAAATGTTATCTCTAAGAAATACGGAGTATTACATTGCTTATAGTGGAGTGGAAACTATTCAAATAACTAGTGCAGTCAACCTTCAAATAAGTCACAATGAAAAATATATCATAGTTGGGAGAAGCTATAAACCATTATCACTCGTGCCCACTGTAAGAGCATCTTCGATGCTAAAACGTTAACAGTGCATACGTGGCACGAGAGATAGTCAATGAAAAAACAATAAATAAAATCTTTCTCCTTATTTGAAGGATCTTATATCATTTTGGTAAGTTTTTCTTCACAATGTCAAACACAATGTGTAGATGTAGACATTGTGGTTGACATTGCAGGGAAAAACATACCAAAAACACATAAGACAGTGAAAACACAGAGAGAAATGTCATAAAATCAATCTTTTGTGTCTATCTCTCATGCCACATGTGCACCATGCACATTGTAGTAATGAAGATGCTCTAAATGTCTCTAAATACTTTTGACAACCAAAATATGTAAAGTCCGAATGGAAGAAATACATATACTAAATAAATCAAATGTATGGGAAGTAATGTTAGGGCTCAAGTATTGTAACGATATGTGATAACCACAACAAGAAGATCTCTATAGGTCATAAAAAGTGTGGTTTGAGACGAAAGGTGAAGTAAATACATGTTTAATACCATTAAGTTACGCATGGTCTGAAAGTATAAAAAATACTTCATCCGTCCCTTAATTATAATTTTGTCTACTTTCCTTTTTTGGTTGTTCCAAAAACTTTGCCATTT